TCTTTTTCTAAAGATGATTGTTTTGAGTATCAACAGGGGTGACCTCAGCATACTTCCCAGCAAGTGATGCAACATCAATGGGTTTTGGGCCTTGGGTGCCCTTATCTGCAGCAGTTAGATAGGGCCATATGGAGGATACACAGGCAATGAAACTGCAAACTCCTGAGCCCCTGATCAGAAACTTCTCTCAGAATATCTGCACCCAATGTCTGATGACATCGAACACAAACAAGCAATGTCATGCAATCAGACACTCCAACCAGAAGTGTAATTCAGAGAAAAATCTTTTGTGGTAAAAAAAGACTCAATTAGTTGGTAAGCTTTAGGCAACTAACTCATTTTATCAATATTATTTTGTTTTTGAAAAAAGTAAATACAGGATACTTAAGAATAGCAAATTTACTAATTAAGCTGCTAATTTTGTTTCTATTCTTAATTTTTTTAAAAAACCCAACAGAGCAGTAGAAGAGATAAATCTGTGCTTATGTACAGTGGTGCAGCACATTAAGAAATCATGCAGAAAGAAACAGTTCAAAAGACAGGAACAAAGCAAAATGAGAATATTCTTTCTAGCATAGAAATGAAATCTAATGAAACCTCACTCAAACAAACAGGATCAAGTTCTGTTCATACTGTACAACCGCAACATATCCTTCATCCAAAACATGAGCCAAGAGCAAGGTAACTGGTTAACCCGTACTGCTAAGTCTGTCTCTCCCTAAAACAGCAAAAGCAGAAGCAGGTCTAAACTGGATGCAGCAGCAGTTGCCAAACTCCGTTGTCTGATATCTTTAAGATGTCACTTTTAGTAATATTACTTTTAGAACTGGAATGACAGTGGTACCTTTGAACATGAGTCATTAATATCTTCAGTATCAACCTTGCTCAAAGGCAGCATAGTCTTCAGGATAAGCCTACTTCCTTTTTAAAACATACATCAATATCAGTCTGCAAAGAAACTAGTGTTCAAAAAGGTTTCAAATGAAGACTACCAAACCTAATGGAGCAGCACGGAAACAGAAGAGAAAGGTGCTCTCATGCTGGGAAGGGAGAAGAGATGGAAGGTGAAAATAAAGAGGATAGAAATCAAAAGTGTTGATATGGTATACAGGAGACATAAAATACTGCTCTGGGAAAGAGAAAGAAAATTAAAGGCCAATAGCAGTCTTGGAAGATCCAGCAATAAAGCAAGCCAAGGGGTGCTGTACCCCAGCTGATGAAGCAACTGAAAATGCCTCAAAATGCAGCTTGTGCATATATTGCTAATGGAAGCTCAAGAAGCCCTAAATTTTTGCTTTTCTTTATCAAAGAAAACATCCAACCCTCTTCCACTCCACTAATCTCATCCCAAGGAAATCACTGTTTTCGAAATTGACCTATGTTCAGTATAAACAAATTCTGTGTGCTATTATCTTCATGACTCAACTGCATTTTGTCCTTCTTGTAGCCACTTCATATTTTCATGGAGAAACAGAACACAGAAAAAAAAAGTATTTTTCACAGAATGGGTTGTGTTGGAAGGAATCTTAAAGATCACTTATTTATAACATCTCTGTCATGAGCTGGGACACCTTCCACTAGACCAGACTGCTCCAAGCCCCATCCAATCTGGCCTTGAGCGCTTCTAGGGATGGGGCATTCACAGTTTCTCTGAGCAACCTGTTCCAGTGCCTTACCACCTTCACAGTAAAGAATTTCTTTCTCATGCCTAATCTAAATTTACCCTTCATCTTCAGGCCATTCCCCATTGTCCTGTCACTACATGCCCTTGTCAAAAGTCCCTCTCCAGCTCTCTTGTAGGCCCCCTTTAGGTACTGGAAGGTGCTAGAAGGTCCCCCCGAGTCTTCTCCATGCTCAACAACCCCAACTTTCTCAGCCTGTCTTCACAGGAGAGGTGCTCAAGCCCTTTCATCATCTTCATGGCCCTCTGGACTTGCAGCAACAGGTCCAGGTCTTTACATTAGAGACCCCAGAGCTATATGCATTACTCTACGAGTGGTCTTACCACAGCGAAGTAGAGGGGCACATCACCTCCCTGGACCTGCTGGCCATGCTCCTTTTGATGCAGCCCAGGATATGGTTGGCTTTCTGGGCTATGAGTGAACATTGACAGCTCATGCTGAACTTCTCATCAAGCAACACCCCCAAGTCTTTTTAGGCCAGGCTGTTCTCAATATATTCTTCACCCAGACTGCATTTGTGCTTGGGATCGTCCTGACACATGTGCATGATCTTGCACTTGGCCTTGCACAAACCTTCATGAGGTTTGCACCAACCCACCTCTAAAATCTGTCAAGATTCTTCTATAGATGGCATCCTTTCCCTCCAAAGTGACAACTGCCCCACAGTTAGGTATCAGGCAAAATCAGCAAAAATGCTGAGGTTGCACTCAATCCCACTGTCCATGTCAGCAACAAAGATGTAAAGCAGCATCTGTCCCAATACCGGCCTCCAAGGAATGCCACTCATCACTAGTCTCCACTCAGACATTGAGCCACTGACTGCAACTATTTGAATGTGACCATCCAGACAACTCCTTATCCACAAAGTGGTCCACTCATCAAATCCATGTCTCTCCAGTTTAGAGACAAGGGTGTGGTACAGGACAGTGTAAAATGCCTTGCACAAGCCCCGGTAGATGACATCAATCACTCTTCCCTCATCCACCAACACCACAACCCCATTGTAGGAGGCCACCAAACTTGACAGGCATGGTTTCCCCTTAATGAAGCCATGTTGGCTGTCATCAATCACCTCCTCAGTTTCCGTGTGCCTTAGCATGGTTTCCAGGAGGATGTGGTCCATGATCCTGCCAGGCACTGAGGTGACACTGACTGGCCTGTAGTTCCATGGGTCTCCCTTATATCCCTTTTCCAAAATGGAAGCTATGTTTCCCCTTTTCCAGTCAGTCTACGACAACCTCACAAATATGATAGATAGTTGCTTAGCCATTTTCTCATTCAGTTCCTCAGGACTAGATGTATCTTTTCTGGTCCCATGGACTTGTGCGCCTTCAGGCTCCTTAAACGGTCTTAAACCAGGTCTTCTACAGCAGGTGGTTCTTCATTCTCTCAGTTCTTTGCCTTCTCTGACTTCAGTGTTGTGCCTGGAACATGTGCTGGTGAAGACTGAGGCACAAAAGTCCTGGTAACCAATTCTCCTGTTTCCTTCCAAGAAAGCTCACATTTTCCCCGGTCTTACTTTTATCATTGACATACCTATAGAAGCTTTTCTCATTGCCCTTAACATCCCTGGCTTTAATACTCTGAGGGCTTTGGCTTTCCTAACCTGATCCCTGACTGCTTAGACAACTTCTCAATATTCCTCTCAGACAACTTGTTCCTGCTTCCAACCTCTGTAGGCTTCATTCTGTGTTTGAGTTTGTCCAGGAGCTCCTTGACCATCCACACAGGTCTCCTGACTTTTTTGCCTGCCTTATTCTCTGTTGGGATGCATCACTCCTGAGCATGGAGGAGGCGAATTCATGTTCATCATTTAGGTAAAACAAACCAAACAAAAAACCTGCCCCAAAACTTTTCCTTTATGCTACAAGGTTTTGAACACAAACTAAGACACAGTCCTCCCCAGCTTCCACTTTGTTGTTTCAGCTACCATTTACCAAATATTGCAAAAGCTAGAAAACAAGAGGGATATGGGATAATCAGGAATATCTGAAAGACCACAGGACATATTTCATTCAGTAACCCCCTTTTCCCTCAAGAGTTTATCAACTCTCAGAGATGTGTCTAACTTAGAAACAATTAATGGCTTTAACTACCAGAGCTGTCATTCATTCATAGCACATTAGCTCGTAGGTGTCTTTTTTAACAACTCCTGCTATACACCAATTTCTATCACAATCCATACGTTCATTTTTATTTTAAATTTTAAATTATTTCCAAGAAATGATCTGGAGGGTTATATTTCACCTATGGATTTTTAAATTTTTTTTAAAGTGAGGTGAATAGCTAGACTACAACTCAAACAGCAACAATAATTTAAAAAAAAATCCCACTCTAAATAACTAGTATGAGGAATGGTTTATGCATTCCTTACTAGTGAAGCTTATATTCCTGTCCCACTCCACCTCCAAAAATGAAGAATTTTCTAATTTTAAACAGATACATCAGAACAGTCATTTATGTAACAGAAAATATGCAAACCAGAATGCCTTTCACTGGATATTCTGCCTTTTTTTTAAAGAGTATGAACACATACAGAAACTGTTAACAGATAACATGCAGATTTATAGGTTACCATTAATGGCTCAGTAGTCCTATTCAATAAGAAAGGGACTGCGTATCTGAAAAACCTGTTGCCTTTAAAAATGAATAAAATTAGGAACACAGTAATCTTCAGTGCATGGCATTTGCATAAAATTAAATATGGGCCTGCTCAAGGGAACCCTGTATTCATACGAGTCATCCTGTTCAAGTAACCAGCATCATTTGCATAAATAATGTCCTGTAGTTTGCATTCTAAGTTAAGGCATCTCAATTTGGTTGTTCTACAATTGATAACTGCTACACCATTTGGTTTATGTCTGCTGGAAGACTTCTGCTAAATTCATAAAGCTTCAGACCACTTTAATAACAACTTGTAAGCAAAAGAACACAGACAGCCTTTTCCTCAGTAAATGTTTTACCCCATCACTTGTAAACAGATTTCGGAGTCACTTTACTGTGTAGCTTTTGTCAAAGCCTTTTTTTCCCCCTAAAACAATCATTCAATAAAAACAAATTAAAACAAGAAGCAAAACTACTATTTCAAGTCTTGATAACTGCATTTTTCCACTTTCAGTAATAACTTGAATTTGTGCTTTTAAACTCACTTAGGAAATGCCATCATCATAAACTGCACATTGCTCAGGACTCTTTAACTACTTCAAATTAGCTACTAAAACACTGCAAAGGAGCTGATGTATTAGAAGAGAAGCAAAATGAGCCAAACTCCACACGTCCCCCACCCTCTTACTGGGAAGTGTTTGTATAAGCCCTTACCTGCTGGGTAACGTTCGATAACGGGCCAGTTGTCCACCTGTAATGTGGCATTGCCACCACTCCTTGTGAAGCGTACTACATGGTATTTTCCATCATTAATGATTGCATTCATCTCTTCAATAGCGATGTCATCAGTTCCAACATTAAATTTAACTCCAATTTTTCCCTGGTGCTGCATATTTTTAAAAAAAAAAAAAAAAAAGAGGAAGAAGAAGAAGAAGACCTAATTAAGAGTTGTTTTAGCAAGAATTTGAGACAGCATTTCATACAAGGAAAAATTTCTAACAACATCGTCCCTCCTCAGATGTAACTTCTGAAGACTTGCATGTGGCAGTGACAAGACTTCTGACAGCTCAGTAAGTCCAGGATGTCTCTTTGATGGATAATTGATATTCCAAATGAGTTGTTTCACCAAACAGAGATATCTCCTTTTCCAGGAGATTCAGACCAAGATCAGAAGAGGGGAAGGAGGAGGAAATCTCAAGCTCAAGCTTTCTTTCTTTGTCATCTCCCTCACCTCCATGCAGATTAAACACAATTTTTGCCTTCTAGACTTTCTAAATGGAAAGACTTGCAGTGCCACTTGGAAGAGATACAAGAGTTTTCTGGCTATAAAATCCAAGGCCCAGATCTGCATGTCCTTTTTCCAAATCTCATTCATACTCAGAGTCTTCACAAATGATAACAAAGGAGGACATTTTTTTTTCGAATGGAGAGATTTTTGGCATCATGTTGTAGTAACTCTGAATCATTAAGCCAAGAACAGACTAACTAACAAGGACTTTCCTGTTCAGAGCCAGAAAGCAATGAAAGGCATTTGCTGACACAGGGATGTGTATTTCTCCCACTAAGGGCAGAGATTCATTCTTTTGCTGGCATTTACCTATAAACCCCTGTGCCTGAGTGCACTTAGGGCTAAAGGGACTTCCCATGCACATTCATACCTGGGACCAAGGCTGTAGATTTTCTGGGTGACTGTGCTATTGGCATGCTTTCATTTTTATTGACTTTTAATTATTAAAATGTTCATTCTAATCGGACATCTATATTTTAATATAGTCTTTGAATGTCTATTAAATTTTAACATAAGGGCTTTGTGATATTTGTTTTTCTCATGTAAAATCAATTTTATTCCTCAATAAAGATATTTATTATACTGAGATGAAAAAAAGAAAAGCACTGCAAAGTATGAGATTAGGGACTTGTGCATAATAAGTGGCAATTCTACTTGAAATGCTATGTCCTTGGCACTGAATTTACACTACTAGAGGAAACACAATTAAATATTTCACTTTGTACATCTTGGCCATTCATGCCAATTTTTAAACTCCCTATACTAAGTGTACTCTGCTCTCATCTCTGAAAGTCTCCCAAGCAAAGAAATCAGGAGTTCTTTCACATGATTTTATTGTCTTTTTTGAATTCCTGGTTTGTTTTCCAATAGTGCTTGCATATTCCAGTTACTCAGTTGAGCAGCTGCTGAACATCTCTGGTGTACCTCAACATTTTGGAACTATGCTATCACCTCTTGCTATGATCCATTTTTAAAACAACAAAAGGACCATTCCCTGATGAGATTTGCAGAATGACTTTGAAAAAATATTTTCATTTGCTCTGTTGCTTAAACAATGTTCTAAACATTCCTCTTTTTTCCCTTGGGGATCGTTATAACACTTCTCTATTGGCTGGTCCTACTTTTCCATGCCTATAGGGTGTCAGTAAGGGATCCACTTCATGCAATACATGCTCATCTATTGCATCCTGTGTGAATTGCATAGCAATTTCCCAGTTACTTTGGGAAAGTAACTGTAGCTCTTCTTTATTTCAACTGTTTCAGCTATGACTCAGAATAGACTTCACCCGTTTTCTCTCCATGGATGCAGTAGCTAATTTTTTCACCAGTTTCACTCATATGCTTACTCTCTTTACACAGAAATATATACAAAGAAATATAATATTGTCCTGGCTCTAGAACAATCTCTTCTTTTACTAATTTATGAAATGCAGAAAACCAACATGTAATGATAATGGCATATGTACCTTTTCATAGTACTTTCAAGATATCAAAAGCTTTGAGAATAAAAAAAGACTAATTTTACAGTGATTCATAATTACACTATTCATAATATTAATACTATCCACTTAACATACCTGCTTTCATATTTGCTGTACAGATATATATATATATATTTATTATTTAAGATTAAAAAAAAAAACCAACCCTAAAACAACCCACAAAAAACCCAAGGAAAATGAAACATCTTTAAAGTGAATAGAATAGGTGCAGGTAAAAAGAAGTGGCATACAAGGCAAATGTATCAGTGGCTTTTCAAGAATTAGAGAGTGTGGTTCTGCAATGGTCACCAAGCTACTATTTGCAAATGGCCACGTATTGGCAAGTGAAATGAATGCTTTATAGAGCTGGAGGAGACCTTTAGCCTCCCTTTATAAAGGTATACTTTCTAATAAAAAAATCAGTTTGGTTAAAACCATGTGCACATACCATTTTTGTGGATCAGCTGATATACAGTGATCTGTTGAGATAACCTGATCTCAGCCCTCAGTCACCATATGCTTAGTCTGATGGACCTGTAACCCATTAGAAAGAACTGGCTTTTATTTTTCCTCCTTTTGGAGTAATATGGTAGTGTAGAAAGAGTCTGATAAAACTGAAGCATACTAAATTACTAGTTTCATTTTGCCAGCCTCAGTTGCATAGTACAGTAGTATAAATTTTCCTTTGTCAGTTGTTCATTCATAATAATCTTAAAGTTGCTCTTCCTATTAGAAACAGCCTCAAACAAATGCTGAATAAGAAGTTCCTTCTTCAGTACCCTGATGATGGGCACTATAGAAATGTCTGTGCATCACTAACTAAGTACAGCAACAAGTAAACATTACTGTTGAATGATGCTATCCCTGTCAGTGACCCAAAATAGTACAGGTTCATATTCCTAGAAGGTTATGTTTTTCCATAAGCAAAGATGACCATTTCAGTGTTCCCCTGGTAAAAATCAGCTCTGCACACAGGGCCTGTAGAAATCCACTGCACTACTTATGGTTCTCAGCCTGTGTTTTATTTTCTCAGTCTCACCTGGTTGTGAGAGAACATAGTGATGAAATTAATACCTTTTCCTACTGTGCCTTTATCTGTTCTGAACTGTTAATGCCACAATTACAGAGTGGAGACATGTAGGAGATCGGAGAGTCTCCAAAACTATTTCCAAACAAGGGCAAAAGAGAGGACACACCTTCAGTGGAAGAGGAAAGCATTTCAAAAAGAGGCTTAAACATTGTTCTGTATCTCTGGAAATTATTTTCAAATTCAAAGGCACTATGAATAATGCTACAAATATCACATCACCACCACCACCACCACTCTGTGGGACAATGCAGCACAGGGACCTTCAGTTCATCTACATACAAGCTATATGACACACTGAGCACCAACCTGCAGCTCTCCAGAAATGCTAAAGTTTTGGTTTGGAGGCACTTTGGCCATGTAGCTCTCCTGTTTCTGAGGCCAGGGTAACTTTCCTCTCTGCAGTACCCACACAGGCAGGTCAGTTAATTTGGTGTTACATAAAGCACCCCTGCATGTTACTGCAACATGCAATGTAGGCTTTGTCTATAGCTTAAATTCTGCTGTCCAGCCACTTGTAGATGAGACCAAGCTCACAAGGGTAAAGACATTAATGGCTTCAAGGCAGTTAGACAAAACCATGAGATATACCTATTTAGCTCCCCTACACTCCTAATGTGCTATGAAACACTGTGAGCTTTGATTGCTGAGATAGTACAGGATTCTATGTGTACATACCAATCACTTCAAAACATTTTGTTTCCAAAAGCACTGGCAGTCACTACTGTAATCTAGCAACAGTGGAATATCTTCAAGCTTTTTTTTAAGAATTGTGCATTCTAAATACTTCTACCTTGGCTTTAACAGTCATCTTAGGAAGCACAAAGAATGCTGATGACCCTGAGGACCAAGCAAAAAGGGTGAAATGCTAATCAAGCCTGCAGCTGACAGTGCAATTTGTTCCCTGTTGGACTCTAGTTCCATGCTACCGATCTGCCAACTCCAAACACAGTAAAACCAATGCTAGTATAAAATATAGGTATATATCTAGAGAATAATGAAAAAATAGAGAAGAAAAAAATTCAAGTGTGCCAGCTTGCGTCTTAAAGCGTCAGTCCCTGAGGCATCACTTTCTGGAGAATGCGATAACAAAGTCTTAGAACTAACTGAAGGTTTACTTTGATTTTATTGAAGAGCAAGTTTCTTGAGTTTTATTAAAAAGAGTGAGATTATTTTCACTCAAAATGTAATCAGAGGCTAATATTCTATATTATAGAAATCTCTGCAAAATAATTAAAATAACTTCTGATTTTCTGAATCCTGAAAGGAAATGCATATTTAAAAGCAGTACTGTTTGCTTCAGAAAGTGAGGGGAGGGATATACAATAGACAGAAGATACATTTGAACCTCAAGACTAATAGATTAACTACACATATTGTAGTCCATCATTATTTCTTCTTACTGTCTAGTATCTTCTGGAGGAAATGCTTCCTGGAAAAGACACAGAAAATATAAAGCGTCTGGGAAGAGGTCTTTGAATGAATACATATTTTGTATTCCAGTGAACATACTTAACTTTCTGATACAGGGTTTTAATTCATGCTCTAAGATTTTATGTCATTAACCTAATCTAACTTTTTTTCTTTGTTATTACTTTTCTCAGTGAGAAGTGATAAAATATGCAACCTAATTTTTACCAAGAGTAGTCTTTTTTTTTTTTTTTTTCCTTTTTAGTCAACTGCAAGACAGCATGCTACAAGAATAGGCATTCTCCTGCCATCCCTCATCTTGAGTACTTACAGTCAGGTCCTGTGCCTCTTCATGAATTCAGAAAGGTAACCATTTTCAGGGATGGATTATAGCTTTCAGTATATCATCACTTGACATACTGCAGAAAATGTAGGAGGGGCTTGAAACCTCTATCAGATTGCTAGCAGGCAAAGTTATCATTCACAGGTAGACACTTCAAGCAAGGAAGCAAAGACTTCTGCTGATCTCTGATAGGATGTATCCACATGGTATTCAGTCTTTTGGCATCTGACAAGTGTGAAACTGTTTGTTTTCTCTTTCTTTTCCCAAAAGCTGGTAATACCTA